AATGAAAGACCATAGGCCAAAATGATTAGGGGTGAACACATCGGGTTAATATTTGCTTAAAAGTAAACGATGTTGAGCTGTATATGACTCGCGCTTCTTGGCAGCAATTGTTCCTACAAATTTCATCAGTCCGTGCTTCATCCGCGACCGAGAAGACATCGTTGCTTCCTGAAATTCTCTTCTCATAATCCCCTTGCAATTCTTGTCCAAGTTCCTTGGAAATTATCCCCAGAACCTTGTCGGTATTCGATTCGGATTATGCTCAGAGGATCTATCCCTTTGAAATCTCCTTAGAATTGCTATTGAATTCTTCTCAGAGTTTCCTAGGATTACTTCAAGAAACTCCTTGAAACCATCCTCAGAATTCCTTTGAAAATGTCCTTGTATTTTGATTTCCTTGGAATTGTCATCAGAATTTCCATGGAACTTTCGCCAGAATTTCCATTGAATGTCCTTTGAAATCTCTTCAGATTAAAGTTCTTTTCATAATCCACCAGGAGTTTACTTCTCTATTCCCTCGGAATAATAACGACAATTGACACCCTTTTCAACCAGAGGGTTACAGACTCAAACACTTAAAACTAGACAGTGGACAACGAAATCTAATGTTCCGCAGCATTGCACCATTGAGCAACGTCAAAATTAAAAAAATCTTAAAAATTTCGTGTTCGAGTTTTTTTTTTATTAAAATATTATATAATTATATATATAATATATTATATATTATTATTATAATATTTTATTAAAATATTTTTATTCAAAGGGCGGATGTTTCCCAGAGTCTTAAATAATATTCATCATCGCTCGAGTTAACACTTGCTGCAATTTCGGCCTCCACATGATTCCGGAATGCACGGCAGGTTCTAATTATGTAGTCTGGATCCTTTTCCAATCGAGATTTGAAGGGTTTTTAGGTGTTAGAATTTGTTTCGTTAAAAAAGTCCAAACCCATTATTTTCAGGCTGGCGGGTATGAAAATCTTTAAATCGATTTATCTCCTTTAATATGGCTCTAATCGAGATTCGGAGGGATTTTAGGTGTCAGAAATTTTTTTCGTAAAAAAAAGTCCCAACCCATTAATTTCAGGGTGGTGGGTATGAAAATCTTCAAATCGATTTATCTCCGTTAATATGGCTCTAATCGAGATTTGGAGGGATTTTAGGTGTGAGAAATTTTTTCGTAAAAAACATGTCCCAACCCATTATTTTCAGGCTGGCGGGTATAAAAATCTTTAAATCGATTTATTTCCGTTAATATGGCTCTAATCGAGATTTGGAGGGTTTTCAGGTGTCAGCAATTGTTTTTAACGTAAACGAAACATGTAAACATGAAACATGTAACATGTAAACGAAACATGTCCCAACCAATTATTTTCAGGCTGGCGAGTATGAAAATCTTTATATCGATTTATCTCCGTTAAAATGGCTCTAATCGAGATTTGGAGGGATTTAAGGTGTCAGAATTTTTTTTTAGTTAAAAACATGTCCCAACCCATTATTTTCAGGCTGGTGGTTATGAAAATCTTTAAATCGATTTACCTCCTTTAATAATCGAGATTTAAAGGGTTTTAAGTTGTTAGAATTTGTTTCATTAAAAAAAAATCCGAACCCATAATTTTCAGGCTGGCGGGTATGAAAATCTTTAAATCAATTTATCTCCGTTAATATGGCTCTAATCGAGATTTGGAGGGTTTTTAGGTGTTCGATTTTTTTTCGTTGAAAAAAGTCCAAGCCCATTATTTTCAGGCTGGCGTGAATGAAAATCTTCAAATCGATTTACCTCCGTTGATATGGCTCTAATCGAGATTTGGAGGGTTTTCAGGTGTCAGAATTTTTTTTTGTAAAGGAGACATGTCCCAACCCATTATTTTCAGGCTGGTGAGTATGATAATCATTATATCGATTTATCTCCGTTAAAATGGCCCTAATCGAGATTTGGAGGAATTTTAGGTGTCAGCAATTGTTTTTTTTTTTTTAAACATGTCCCAACCCATTATTTTCAGGTTGACGTTTATGAAAATCTTTAAATCGATTTATCTCCGTTAATATGGCTCTAATCGAGATTTCGAGGGATTTTAGGAGTCAGATTTATTTTTTTTTAAACATGTCCCAACCCATTATTTTCAGGTTGACGGGTATGAAAATCTTTATATCGATTTATCTCCGTTAATATGGCTCTAATCGAAATTTGGAGGGATTTTAGGTGTCAGAAATTTTTTCGTAAAAAAACATATCTCAACCTATTATTTTCAGGCTGGCGGGTATGAAAATCTTTAAATAGATCACGTGTGCTTAGAAGCCAAAACATCATGCTACATATGAGACCAAGAAAGTACCACTTACATCATGTACGTACAGTTGTGTTCAATAAAATAGCAGTGCATGTCAATTTCCATACAAAATGGTCAAATTTGACATGATGTAACTTTGTTAACTTATGATAAATTGAGCTGAAACGTTCGCCACAGAACTACAAATATGTTCAATTTTACGATTACAAAATACCAAATTTTTTTTAAGCACCTGTTGGAAAGCAAGACACAAGGTAGAATTGTTCTAAATAATAGCAGTTTTTGATTTAAATTTTTATGTACTGCAAATATTTCAAACATTTTTAACTATTATGTACATTTGTTAATTGGGTGGGAATTGTTAGAATTTTGAGAATAGTAAAATTTAAAATCTCAAAATTGAGCTGAAATGCAAATTATTAGTACTCCTATTATTTTGAACAATTTAACCTAGGCTCTCACTTTCCGGCAGGTGCTTCCAAAAATGTGGTATTTCGTAATCGTAATTGAATATATTTGTAGCTCTGTGGCGAACGTTTCAGCTCATTTGATATTAAGAGAACAAAGTTACAACTTGTCAAAGTTGACCATTTTGTATGGAAATCGGCATATTGAACACAGGTGTACGATAAACAAATGGAATTGTGATTTTATTCTTCGGAAATAATGATAATGTCGCTATACATAGCATATTGTATGGGAAATTGTTCATTTTTGAAGCAAAGCATGTCCAAATTTTTTGATGCACCAAATAATCACTAAATTTATGTTTGCAATGTTTTACGGAAATCCAATCTGTAAATGTTCTCAAAACTCACATAAATCATTGGTTGAAGGACTTAGAAGATATATACATTAAGGCGTTTCCCGAGCTAGACTCTGAGTATCCATGTCGATTAAATTCGAATTTACCGGGTGGATATTCGTATAACTATGCATTAAAGATATTGATTATATGAGGTTATTTTGGATCCACAATAAGTTTTAACTAACTTAACCATGATTTGAAATTGGTGCATTTCCCATGAGACATGTTTCCTACCATGCATTATGGGATTAATTTTATGAATGCAGATTTCTTATCGATTTTGGATACACGATCGATAGCCTATTCTGTTGGTAGTTGAAAATTAAAGCTTCGAAAAAACTTCTGCTTAAAACTGTATCTTAATGTTATTTCATGTACATCTCTTTCTATTATTCTAATTTGAGTTCCCTTTACTGCTCATACAGTTGTATCCGTAATTTCTTCAGTCGTAACATCGACTGTAGGATCAGTCATAGATGGATCGGTCGTAGGTGGATCGGAAGCACCCTGCAAAGAAAACAGCACATTTAATACTTTCAAATATAAGTCTTAATTACTGACGGTATAGTAAACAAATACTGGTGAATAGTATTTCCATAAAACTAGCAGCACTGATATTTTTGCATTCATTGCAAGCGTTTACACATAGAATGACTTCTCTTGTGTTGTCCGTTATTGCTGGGGCATAATTAATTTTGTTTATATAAAACAAGTTAAAATTCAAAGGTTGCTGTTATAATTAACGTAACTCTTCGTAAAAACATAGAACTAAAATTGACGATTTTTTTTTTTTTGTTAAAGCAATGCGAAGTGGTTTCAATACTCTCCACTATAAATACGTTTGTTTTTTGACTCCAAATTTTGACCGTCCGTTTGGCTCTGCTAAATTTTTCTTTGCCAGTCAGTGTTTACTATACCGTCTGTAGTGTTCATGATACATAACTACTTTTTTATGTATTTGTGATGCAACCGATTAAGAAATAAATATTTTAGCTTACATGAATAATGAAGATAAAAGGGTATGGTGATGGTGAACATTTATCAAATATCTTGATTGATTTATTACTGTCTGGGCACTCTTAAACAGAATCCATTCCCATATTCGTGGAAGAAAGCCGTGAATTATATTTCTTGTAGTACATTTCATTCTACGCGCGGACCGTGAACTATAGTTCACACAGATAAAAATTCTGAATTTTAATTGTGATGTAAACATTCATTCGCGTAGACTTGTATTTCATTTCACGCAACCGAGCAACTTGCAAACAATGTTTCTTACAAAGATGGGCTTTTGTATACAATATTTGCTACATTGCATGAAATGTGTCAGAACTTTATATGATATATAATGTAAACGTATATGATATGTGACGTTCCATTTATGTACATCATATTAAACAGAAAATTACACTACTTTTTCGGACTGTGCGACTGTCGTTCACGAATATGGAAACGGATGTTTTCCCCGAGTATTGAGGATATCCATTCAAATTTGATAAAAATAAGTTAGACATTCACGTTACTTTTACGACATGCTTTATTGGAGATAGAATTTCCTCAATATATTGAGAGCCAGATAATCCAGCAAAATCATCATCAGAGTTATCTTATCAAAGTTGTAAATTGATTGCAATCAGCTCATTGCAATCTTTATCGAATTAAATTACGCATCTATCTGATATTTGGACTGACATTTCAATTAAAATGCAATGCCAATGTCGATATCTTACGGCTGATTACGCTTTTTATGTGTTTGATGAGTTTAACAACATTCACAAAACACAGGGACTGACAGTTTTACGGTTCCATTATTCATGTAGTTCATGTTCAAATTAATGACTCAAATTTACGACACCACCAAAATGATTCAAACGATTCGAAACTGGAAATTGAAAACAACAATTAACTTACCGGACAAGTGTCTCCTATAATGCAATCATTCACCGATTCATCAAAAACAGTTCCATTTGCACATTGGAATTGTACAGGTAGGAAATTTTCATCACAGATATAGAATAAAGTACAATCAAATGGGTCCACGAAAAACTGCGGTGGTGGAATGGCGGGATCACACTGATTTTCGACACAATCAGCTTCGGAAGCAGGAATGCACTTTAAAGTTACCGGATCAAAACTCAAACCATCTTCGCATGTTTCAGGGAATGGTGTACCGCCGATACACCAGACAAAGTCCGTACACGAACCATTCACCGGCAGTACAATTACTCCGGTTGGAGGACAATCCACCTCAAGACACACATATTTGGGATCGCACTTCAGCAGATCTGGATTAAAGTTGTATCCTGTTGGACAGGTTACTTCGTAAGCCTGACCTCCATAGCAGCTGATGTACATTGAGCACTCGGTTGGGTGAGGAAGAAATCCATCGACAATACCTGCAGTGGTACACTCATTTGCCAAGGTATTACCAGCAAACGCACCAAGAATGATGAAAGTAACGAGTTCTGAAAAACAAACAACATATTGAATTAATTTTTTTGTTAGAGTTTACAAACCATTGTTACGCACTGTGAACCATCTTTGTTCTGAAACTTATGATTAGAGACTGAATCAGGTTTGGCGATATATTTCTTCAATATATACCATTTTTATCTTATCAAAATGAGTGAATGAAGTGATTATACTGTATCAATGAATGGATTTTAGAGATTAAACTTTGGTTAACAACTAGTGTTTAACAACAGGGCTTAAAGGTTTTTTGCGCATGAGTCACCGTGAAACTTGAGACATGATGAAGAGCCATCTTAATACTGATTTTATGCGGTACATGTGGTCACAACAACTCCAACTCCAGTTCAAGCACAGCCGTCCATACTTTCTTTCAGCAATCATGTATGTTGTATTAAAAAAGTTGATCGTGTGTCAAAACTTCAGGCATCTTGCGTTCGTTTCATAATTGAATGGACATTTCAACGACAAAGAAAAAGGGAGAAGGAATGGTTAATACTACATCTACAGGGCTCTCCCGATTTTGTCAGCTCCCTATTTGAAAATATTTTATGTTCTTCTCGAAATCCTTGCACTTTTTCAGTGATTTGTTGCATCCAAATTGTCCAAGAGAATAGAGATCCATCTTGATAACAATTGAGTACGGTTTGGAATCAATGTAGGGTAAGTGAGGAAATTATGACATATGCATCAGTTATAACACAATCCCATGTACGCAAGTTTTTGACTTTACTCATTTAAATCATATAAGCCATGACTGGAACATGCCGAAATTGGGGCAAAGTTTAAGTAGTGCTGCTTCTCTAGCACACCTAACCTAAAGCCATATTAGTACCATGAGCAAATGTGATGTGAGAAGGAGCTGACAAAATCGGGAAAGTACTGTAGTTGTAAAATTCGTAATGCTTTTATGATCACCAACCTTCAGAAAAGCCTGACGATAATATGAAAAGCGTCATAGTTCTTTATCAGAGACGCGTTGTACGTACAGGATTTTGTTGTTACTAGTTAGGTTATTCTATTAGTATTTTTTTTTTCCTTTCGTTAACTTCAGAGCTCAATCATGGAAGTTTTACGGAACTGACAAGGCAAGGGTTTGTTACATTACCAATTTTACTTAAATCCACGTCTAGTAGAGATGGGACTGATAAATCGTGGAATATTTCAGGTTAGGGGGAGATTGGAATTTGTGTAAGTTGTAAAGAGATTTGAAAGCCTTCTACACGTCTAAATTGTTTTTTACAGTACCCTAACTTTGTTCAAGACAGTAGCTTTCTATCTTGTTAGGATCTCGAGATATATTACAATTTGATATCTTCGGATATTCTACAATTTGGCGCGCGCGAACACTAGACTTCTTTATCGAGTTAAAGGATTAACGCGCGCACATACCGAGTCACATACGGGACTTTCTCAACTTTAGCGAGCCTAGCTGGGAGAACCAGTAGTAGGGTCGCAAAGAGAATACTAGCTTCTTATTTTGTGCAGTTATTCGATAAGCCAACTGTGAAGTCGGGTCGAGCTTCAGACTAAGAATCTTTTTGTTTATTAACTTTTAGTTTAAATGATCTTTATTTCAGTTTAACTTGGATGATTACCATATACATTTTACTAAGTGATTTAATTGCTTTCTTCATCTTTAGGTATGGGCAAAATTCAAAATTTGTTTTACAGAATTAATCCTAGACTTAGTACATGGTCGACCACCTTGGTGGGATTGGTTTGTTTTGTTTTTAGAATTTGAAGAGAAACTACTTAATACTACTATTTACAGCTTAAAACTAACCTACTCTACTATATACACTTAACCTACTATGTACAAATTGCTTATTACAGCATGTCCAGAAAGATTGCATTTTTGGATAAATTTGGTTGTCATATCATCAATTTTGGAATCTACTTTGGGAATTTCTGCCTTTTGATGGAGGTCTGCTATTCTTGTGTCGAATGAACGATCTAGGATCATCCTCAACACTCAATTCTGTGCAACCTGGATTTTGTTCCTGTGGGTCAGAGCGCACGATTCCCACACCGGGGCGGCATAGAAGCTCGCGGGGGCTATGATCTGTTTGTAGACAGCCAGTTTGTTTTGCCTTGAGAGGCGGGATCTGCGGCAAATGAGCGGATACAAACACCTAACCAAGGCGAAGCACTTAACTAGGGTTTTCTCTATGTGCGAGCGGAACAGGAGCTTCTCATCGAACAACATCCCGAGATAAGTAACATCAGTGGACCACTCGACCCTTGTACCATCCATTATTATGGTACAGGAGGGAGACGGTTAAAGTTTTGGCGATTGTCTGTGAAGGAACATGATCGCTTGGGTTTTCGAGGCGTTGATTTTGATTTTCCACGTGGTGGCATAATCAGTAAAGGTGTCAAGGCATCGTTGGAGCTTGTTCGTAATTTCACGAGGCATCCTACCCTTGACGGCTATCGCGGTGTCATCTGCGAACAGGAAGAACACGCAACCGTCTCCTAGAGGAGGGATGTCCGACGTGTAGATGCTGTAAAGCAGTGGTCCCAGCAGACTCCCTTGCGGAACACCTGCTGGGATCGGAAATTGTCCCGAAAGGGAACTATTCAACGACTTTTTGTTTATTGAAATGCATTTTCCTTTTATACAGTTTTAGTTACATTGATTCATGAATGTTGAAAAGAGTCATTTGGGAAAAAAGAGTGAGACGACTGGAGTGACACCAAAAATGCGCATCCTAGTAACATCGGAAATAATGGTTATATTTTGGTTGAGCGCCCGGCGTTGTCATTCGAAACCTTTCTTGCTACGCGAACAACCTTGGCCCACCCGGGAAGGGTGGAAGAGGACGAGGGAGCGCTTCAGTTCTAGTGACGAGTGACAAACATATGGGTCGTGTAAAGTTGCATAATTGCATTCTTGCCCGAGCGATGCCTCGGTGCCTGGAGTGTATAATTTATTAGCATGGTTCATATTGATTGGGGTTTTGTTAGCTATGTGAGAATGGTATACTACAACAAGCGAGAATTTCACATTTCACTAGCGCTACTTAGTGAGAAAATTTCGAACAACTGTCCACGAGCGAAAAAATTGTGATATCCTGAACAACTTTGCCGACGACAGTAATTTTCTATCTGGTCAAGAACTTGAGATATTTTATATGCAAGAATTTCACATGTATACTAGCACCATGAAGTGAGAAAATTCTTTACTACTGTTTACCAGCCAAACAGTCTTGACCTCCTAAACAACTTTGCCGAAGACAGCAACTTTCTACGAGAAAGACACGTTTATAATTGAGCCGCATAGTGAGACAATTCTGAACTATTGTCACCCAACAAAACGATCTTGACTTCCTGAAAAACTTTGCCGAATACATTTACTTTCTATCTGGTCAGGATCTAGAGATATTTTATATGCAAGAGTTTCACATGTATAGTAGCGCCGTAAAGTGAGAAAAATCTGAATTACTGTCCACCTGCGAAAAACCCTTGACCTCCTGAAAAACTATGCCGAAGACAGCACCTTTCTATCTTGTTGGGAACTCGAGATATTTTATATGAGAATTTCTCGTGTATACTAGCGCCGCGTAGTGAGCAAATTCTGAACTATTGAGCACCAAGCTATAGGCTTTGACCTCCAGAAAAACTTTGTGAAAGACAGTAACTTTCTATCTGGTCAGGTTCTCGATATATTCCATGTTGTAATCAATTAAGTCTAATCCCACGTAGTATAGTCATGCGGTTTCCATTTACATTTTCCCTACTATCCGCATTTTTTAGGTGTTTACTGTAATCAAAGTTAAGCTTGTTTAGAAAGATCAAAACAAGTTTTTTGAGGAATACTCATTGGTTTCAGATCGATTGGTAACTCAGCAACAAAATGGCAATGGAAAACTCATGTGTGTTGTACAAAGTACAACAGCGCGAGTAACGGAGGGTTAAACAAAGTTTTGGAAAACTGATGCTGCGTAGGTTGCCTGAAACGTTCAGCCTCGATTAAAACTTTCTTATTTTCTTGAATTGAAACTAATTGCTGTTGCCTAACATCTAGTTTATTTGTTTCTTTTTCTTCTTCCTCTCCTTCTTCTTCGGATTTCATGATTATTGCTTACCGTATTTTGTATGTATACTCATTTGCATACTTTCAACTTAGTGTTGTAGATGCACTTCTACAGATATTAATTGAGATCTTTCGATGCCTGTACCATTTTTGCATTAGTTTAATTGTGTGGCAAGGAAATTATATTTTATGTCCAGTCCAGGGAAGTCGAGAAATTTTCCAACCCGAAAAATTGCCTAAACTGGACCGGGAATCGAAACTACCCACCTCAAGCATAGTCTTGCTTTGTTGCTGCGCCTTTACCGACTGAGCTAAGGGTAGCCACTGTATCTTTGCATGCTATTGGATTTTGGAGGTTTTGAAGCAACCCATGTCTCATTTAGGTCTGAAGCAGGCATGCTCGCAACTGAGACTAGGCCTTCTATCCCCGCATATCGAGAGGGGATGTAGATGCGATATGCAACATTATATAACAGGTGGCCATCAATATCATTTTCCACCTTATAATTAGGTACATCCACACGCAGTTTGTTGGGTCCCTCTGTATGTCTTGAAATTACGCAGAAATTTTCTCGATATGTTGAGATTATGTTCAGGCCGAATAAACCCAACGCATGGTCCTTTCAATAAGAGTTGGTAGTACCTAGCTATCGCATCATCTGCGTAATAAATACCTAGCCTTTGTGCACCTTAACATAAAAAAAATTAATCCTACAACAATCAATTGATTTTAAAAGCTGTGTTGCCAGGTTTACTACACTGTTGCAAATAAACTTAAGAATTTTACGACACATATGAATTTCAAAATCGTGACTTATGAATGAGTTTCGTATACTTAGAAAATTTCATGTGAATTTTGGTGCTCTGAGTGTCAATTTTGACATAAATTTGAGTCATAGCAGACACAAAATTCAGTTTAATCAAACATACTCTTCGTTGAGTAACGAACTGTTCAATCTCTGAGTCCTAATTTTACATGACATGTTTGTATACGTTTCACCCTTAATGTCAAAGATGGATTCCGTCACGTGTAAAATTAGTTATTTCTTAGTGTGTAAGGTAGACCAAGCGTTGAAAGGCGAGTGGTCAACACACGGGCCGTGTAACCTCAACATGCATG